TCCCAGCACGCGGTGGTGAAGGCAGGGAGATATGAAATTCAAGGTCGTCCTTGGCTACATGATAAGTTTGAGGCTAGCCTGGTATATGTGAGACTTTATCTAAAAAAAAATTTCCATATATACATCTATCTGCCTATCCATTTTTCCACTTACAATACATACATACATTCATACATACATACATACATACATATACATACATTGGTCTGGCCATCCACCCAACAACCCTTCCTCCCTCCTGACCATGAATATTCATACAGCTGTGTGTGTATGTGTCAATCCGTGTACCTATCATCTGTGTATCCACCCATGTCCACAGCCATGCATTGTTCACCCATGAGCATGTCTAGCCATCATCTGCCTGGGTATCTGTCCATCCTCCCATGCATCTACCCATCCTTCTCCTATGCATCCATTCACATATCCACCCACCCAAGCTTTAATCGTTCGTCACATCAGCATCTTCTCTGCACTGTGGGTGAAACAATATGAATCACACTCAACCAGAACAGCAGAAAACTTAAGCCAGCCGGCTCTCTAGCTCCTGGTCGCCAGATCCTTGGTGCTATACTCATGGTGTTGCCCATTCGAACTATGAAGGAAAGTTCTCGGGCAACTTTCACCCCACTTCTCCCAACCTGGAAGAGGGCTGGGCACCCAAGTATGTCTTTCTAACTCTTATTTTGATCCACAAAACCTTTAGGTTTGTTGAAGCCAGAGGTGTGCCTTCATCCACTTCTCAGCCCCTTATCCTGCCTTGGCTTCCCTCCATGTAGAAGAAGGCCTAGCTAGTACATGTGGAAGTTGGCCTTTGACCCTCTTCCTTCTGCTTCCTTTGTCTGCTCCCCCAATCCTTCACTCCACTGAAACTGGGGTCCTGACCTCTGATCTGACCCACCCACTTGCCAGACATCCTAGAGCCTCTTCTTGGACGCCCAGCACTGGCCATTGCCCGAAGCATGACTGGGCTCACCACACCCTTGGACCGAGCTCAGAACCGCCCCCAAGGAACCTCCAGAGGCTGCCTCCCCCAGCCCGGCCCGCCCTGTAGCCCAGCTCTCCAGCCAGATCCCTTCCCTTTCCCAGATGATTGCAACAGTCTCCTAACCGGTCCCTGGCCTTGGGTTCCCTCCACCCACTATCCACCAACCACGGAGTTCCCTCGCCATGACTCTGTTCCCATGGCATCCACAGTGGAGCTCCAGCCTCTTAGGGGCAGCTTCGAAGCCTCCCAAGCCAGGCCTCTCCTCCTTGCCTGATGTTCGCTCTCTGCTCCCCACCATTCCCCTCTCCAGGCCAGGCAAGGAAGTTCTTTGCATCCTCCAAACCCATCTGAGTTCTGGCTCCAGAGCTAGCCTTCGGCCCAGGACATCTTCCTGGTGTACTACTTCTCAGCCTCTGCTCAGAAGATAGCACAGGTGCTGCTGCTGGAAGACAAGTAGAGTGGGAATCAGGAGCTCCGGGTTCCAGGCTGAGCCCTGCCACTAACTCCCTGTAAGACTCTCAAAGCCTCAGTTTCCCCATCTACAAAAAGACAAGCACACCACCAGGAGAGTCCTGCTTCAAAAGGGTAGCTAGCAAGTGTAAGTGCCGAGAGCAAGCAGGCTTTGGATCTAGGCACATCCCAGCTTCCCAGTGGCATCTTCAGGAGCCAGGTTCCTCCCTGCTCTGTGTTCATTCAGTTTATTTATTTATTTATTTTAAGACAGGGTTTCTTTTATTCCCTTCCTTCCTTCCTTCCTTCCTTCCTTCCTTCCTTCCTTCCTTCCTTCCTTCCTTCCTTCCTTCCTTCCTTTTTCTGAGGCATGGATTCCTTGTGTATCTCTGGCTGTCCTGGAACTCTCTCTGTAGACCAGGCTGCCTCTGCTGGGATTAAAGGCATGCACCACCACCTGGCTTCACCTCGAATTTCCACTCTCAGTTTCCACCTCTGAAGTGATTTCAGCCATGTACCACCAACCCTAGTAACATATTCTTACTAAGCAAAGTCTCTGGGCCTGGAACTTTCCAGGCTCTGCGGCACAGTAGGGAACATGATGAGCCTGCTACCATGAAGCTCACAGTCCCCCAGGACAGAGGTTCTCCACTGGGCACGTGACATTCGGCAATATCTGCAGATTCGTTTGTGTTGTCCTAACTGGAAGGATGCCAAAGTCAGGCACAGAACAAACCACTCATAACTACTATCTAGTCCTGAGTATCCATAATACCAGCCACAGGTGAGGGATTCTGGCTGGATTCGGGTCCTAAGAGACTTAACAAAGAATATACAAGGACAGAGAGTAATCAGTGAGGGGTGGGAGGTAGGGGGAGTGGGAGAGGGGAGAGTTGTGTGGGGGTGTGGTCAGGAACTCTGCTGACTCAGCTGAGACTTCGTGAAAGGTAGAGCATTTGGATGCCGCAGGAAAGAGAGCGAGAGAATTACAAGGCTCTAGATAGGAGATGAGCAGTGGCTGGGACGGGTGGGAAGGGAAAGGGGTACTGTGAAGTGCTCACACTGTTGATGCAGTTTTTGAAAATGATGTTAACGGGAAGTGCTGAGTTCCTGGACAAGGGGTGTGGGAGAAAGAGGAGTGAAGGATGAGCTCAAGGTTTGGCTCCTGCACCAATGGAAGGATGGACTCTGCTCTCCTGAGAAGGGCAGTAACCCTGTATGCTTTCAGCGCAAGGCTTCCAAGCATAAGGCAAATGCTGTATAGACGGTGGTTCTCACAGACTGCCTGTGTCCGCAGGGCCAACCTGGGCCTCTGGGGTGGTTAGTGAAAGCAGCTTTGCTCCCCTCTGGTGTCTAGATTTGCTCAGACTACTGAACATTTGTCTTGTGCTCTGAAGTTGACAGATAGGGAGTGCTGTGACCCAATGGTCTGGCTGGGCTGCAAGATGTGGACACATTTATCCCCGTATGTAATGCGAAAACTGGAAGCCAGGCATGGTGGCCCACACCTGTGTAACCCTGATACCGCTGCACAATAAGACCTGGACTCAACAAAAGGGAAGAGGGGGAAGGAAAGGAAAGGAAGGGAAGAGAAAGGAAGGTGAAATAAGCAAAGGAGAGGAGAGGAGAGCCTGTGTGGTGTCACACACTCAATCCCAAAAGAGGCAGCTGGATCTCTGTGAGTTCCAGGCCAGCCAGAGCTATATAGTGAGAACCAGTCATAAAAACAAAGACCAACAAAACAAAATGACATCAACAAAACGGGGTTGGGTGGGGTGGAGCAATGAAGGCTCAGAGACAGACTCTGATTCACACCGATCAGCAACAGAGTGATAGCATCTGGACCAGGGCAGTGTCCCAAGAACGAATCTCTCTCATCCATGGCTCAAAAGGTTTTCAGTGCTAGGAATCCAACCCAGGACCAGACATTACTCTGCCACTAAGGCACATCCCCAGCTGGCTCAAAAATCTGCTAAGAATATAAAGCATAGATGTTAAAGCCCAGCATCAGGACTGGGCTGAGCAGGAGTTCAAGGGAGTCCAGCTCAGCTTATGCTATGGGAGACCTTGCCTCAAAAATCAAAAACAAGGGCTTAGAAAGATGGCTCAGCAGCTAAGAGTATTTGTTGCTCTTGCAGAGGACTCAAGTTTGGGACCCAGCCCCCACAGGGTGGTTTACAACTACCTGTAACTCCAGTTCCAAGAAATTTGATGCCCTTCTCTGACTTCTGAGGGGCACCAGTTTTGTACACGGAACAGATGCATATATGCAGCAAAACACTCATAAACAGAAAACAAAATTCAAACTATTAAAATAAAAAACAAGCGTATAAAAGGATTACCTGGTGTTGGGTGGCTGTAGTACCAGCTACTCAGAACCCAGGAGTTTGGGGCTAGCCTTGGCAACACAGCAAATTCCTTCTCTTAAAAAAAAATAATAAATAGCCAGGCAATGGCGGCACACGCCTTTAATCCCAGCACTTGGAAGGCAGAAGTAGGATCTCAGTGTTTGAGGTCAGCCTGGTCTACAGAGCAAGTTCCAGGACAGTCAGGGCTACACAGAGAAACTCTAGCTCCAAAAACAACAAAAAAATATTAATAATGATAGCCAGGCGATGGTGGCGCATGCCTTTAATCCCAGCACTCGGGAGGCAGAGGCAGGCAGATCTCTGTGAGTTCGAGACCAGCCTGGTCTACAGAGCTAGTTCCAGGACAGGCTCCAAAGCCACAGAGAAACCCTGTCTCGAAAAAACAAACAAAAAAATAATAATGATAAAATAATACGAATAAATAAAGAGTAAATAGAAAATGCAGGCGTTAATTCTTCAGACAGAGTCTCAGGAGCCATCCTGGGTGCTTGGCCCAGTGCACAAACTTCCAGAGGCTTCTAGGAAGGGCAGGAAGAGGACCCAGGGCAGGAAGAGGACCCCGGCCAGGCAATGCAGCAGGCCCTGGGAGCAGGGAGGGCAACATGATGCCTGTGTCATACATGCCTATCCCATTGTGTACCCCATGCCCATACATGGCCTTGCAAGGGTCCCCTCATAAGCAGCCTGCTTGCCCTGCATATAACCCAGCCTCCACTTAGCCCAGAATCCTGCACCCTGCCCTCTTGCTGCAGGAGCCCAGAGAGGCATTTCCTGTTTGGGGGCTGCCTCCTCCCCCTCTAAGTCCAGGTTCCCAGGGCCCCTGACTGAGCCAGGGTAAGGACTGCGAAGCGGCAGTCCTTGGCCTCCTCCTCACTCACTAACCCCTAATGCTGGTCCTGTTGAAGCCAGAAAACTTGGGAGTGAGATAGGCTGAGCAAAGGGGCTCATCAAATACATGTCTGGTTGAGGTTCTCCATTCTCCGCATGGGGGTTATCAAGTTGATTCTCATGTAGGGCCTGGCAAGAATGGGAGGAGCTTCATAGGTTAGATCATTTAGCATGCCACATCATCCTTGCCCTTGCCTGTCCACCTAAGCGCATAGCATGTATGAGACTGGGGTTTGGCCGCCTGAGATAGACAGGGTGTCAGAGAGGATGCTCTTGCCAGGAGTTGGAAGAGGAGTCTGCATACATACTGTGATGGGAAAGGGCTGGCCCGAGCAAGTCGCTGAGCTGAGAGTGCAGCCACATACTGATACTGGTGGATCCAGATTCGGGTCTCCACGAGTCTCTCAGGAAGACATCTTCACCCCAGCTGTCTTAGTTGCAGATCCTGCTGAAGTTTCAGAGACCTGACTAAGGATGCCTCTCGGGCAGTCAGTTCCCCTTTTCCCTGACTCTGTAAGGCGTGAGGTAGCCCGTTAGTTAAGTGCACCTCCTCCCCTCCTCTGCCCTGCTCCTCTCACCCCAGAACCCCCACCCCACTGCTTCCTGCTCCAACAGCCCCCGGGGAGCTAGCAGGGGAGCTGGCAGCCTCCCCAGCCCACTCCTTACAAGGCGTGAGTCCGCAGGGTCCGCCCCCCGGCCCTCCCGCCGGAGGCCTTGATCCCTCCCTCTGTCAAGAGCAGCGGCCGACCCGAGCCGGGCCAGTCGGGGGGCGTCGCGATGCTGCTGCGCCTGCTGCTGTCCTGGGCGGCCGCGGTGCCCGCACTGGGCCAGGCCCCCTGGATACCCGAGCCCCGAGCCGTCTGCGGCCCGGGCAGTTGCTACGCGCTCTTTCCCCGGCGCCGCACCTTCCTGGAAGCTTGGCGGGCGTGCCGCGAGTTGGGGGGTAACCTGGCCACGCCGCGGACCCCGGAGGAGGCCAGGCGTGTGGACAACCTGGTGGGCGTCGGGCCGGCCAACGGGCTGCTGTGGATAGGGCTGCAGCGGCAGGCTCGACAATGCCAGCCGCAGCGCCCACTGCGAGGCTTCATATGGACCACGGGAGACCAGGACACCGCCTTCACCAACTGGGCCCAGCCGGCTACGGAAGGACCCTGCCCGGCCCAGCGCTGTGCTGCCCTTGAGGCCAGTGGAGAACATCGCTGGCTCGAAGGCTCCTGTACACTGGCTGTCGATGGCTACCTCTGCCAGTTTGGTTTTGAGGGTGCCTGCCCTGCCTTGCCGGTTGAGGTGGGCCAAGCAGGCCCAGCTGTCTACACCACACCCTTCAACCTGGTTTCCAGCGAGTTCGAGTGGCTGCCCTTTGGCTCCGTGGCAGCTGTGCAGTGCCAGGCTGGCAGGGGAGCCTCTCTGCTGTGCGTGAAACAACCTTCAGGTGGTGTTGGCTGGTCCCAGGCTGGCCCCCTGTGCCCAGGGACTGGCTGTGGTCCTGACAATGGGGGCTGCGAACACGAGTGTGTGGAAGAGGTGGATGGTGGTGTGTCCTGCCGCTGCAGTGAAGGCTTCCGGCTCGCCGCAGATGGGCACAGTTGTGAAGACCCCTGTGCACAGGCCCCCTGTGAGCAGCAGTGTGAGCCTGGTGGGCCCCAAGGCTATAGCTGCCACTGTCGTCTGGGCTTTCGGCCAGCTGAGGATGAGCCACACCGCTGCGTGGACACGGATGAGTGCCAGATTGCTGGAGTATGCCAGCAGATGTGTGTCAACTATGTTGGTGGCTTTGAGTGCTATTGCAGCGAAGGTCATGAGCTTGAGGCAGATGGCATCAGTTGTAGCCCTGCAGGAGCCATGGGTGCCCAGGCTTCCCAGGACCTTAGAGATGAGTTGCTGGATGATGGAGAAGAAGGGGAGGATGAAGAGGAAGCCTGGGAGGCCTTTGATGGCACCTGGACGGAGGAACAGAGGGTTCTATGGATGGCGTCTACACAACCACCTGACTTTGGCCTGGCCTATAGGCCCAATTTCCCACAGGATGGAGAGCCTCAGAGATTGTACCTGGAACCTACCTGGCCACCACCACTCAGCGCCCCCAGGGGCCCCTACCACTCCTCGGTGATCTCTGCCATGGAACCCACACTGCCTTCTGCCCACAAGACTTCTGTTATTTCAGCCACGCATCCAGCCCTCGGCCCTGTCCGCCCACCTGCCATGGCCCCTATCACACCTCCAGCTGTGCTCCCTGAGTACCGGATCCCCAAAATCAAGGCCAGTTATCCAGACCTGCCTTTTGGCTACAAGCCTGGGATTATCTCAGCCACTCACCCAGCGCGGCCTCCTGCTTATCAGCCGCCCACTATCTCAAGCAGATATCCCCAAGTATTCCCTCCCCACCAGTCCCCTGTGTCTCCAGACACCCACAGGATCACTTACTTGCCTTCGGTCCCACCTAACCTCAACCCCGGGGATACCACTGCCAAAGCTCATCAACGCCCCCTGGCCCCAGATGTTCCAGGCATCAGAACCCAGGCTCCCCAGCTTTCTGTCTCAGCTGTCCAGCCCTCTCTGCCTAGCCCCTCTAAGTCCTCTGCCCACGAAGCCCCTGTGCCTGCTGCCACCCATCCTCCGGCCCTCCCGTCTCCTCTTCCCCCTCAGAACCCCGTTAACCAGACCTCAACTATCAGCTCTACGCGTCCCTATTCCAGAGCCCCTCTATTCCCAAGGGAAGGAGCTCCCAGTCCCAAATTGGTGCCATGGCTGCCCTCAGTGGCTCCTACAGCAGCTCCAACAGCCTTGGCAGAGGCGGGTCTTGCAGACCAAAGTCAGAGGGATGACCGGTGGCTGCTGGTGGCACTCCTGGTACCAACATGTGTCTTCTTGGTGGTCCTGCTTGCACTGGGCATCGTGTACTGTACCCGCTGTGGCCCCCATGCCCCCAACAAACGTATCACTGACTGCTATCGCTGGGTCACACAAGCTGGGAACAAGAACCCAACAGAACCCATGCCCCCCAGAGGCAGCCTAACAGGGGTACAGACCTGCAGAACCAGTGTGTGATGGGGCACAGGTACCCCTTGTGAGGTAGGAGGAAGGGACTTGCTTTGGACACATGGATGAGACCGCACCAGGGACTTATGGGGGCTACCCAGATGGACAGAAGGAATTCTGCTCCTTGGGCCCAGCATTCATGGCAAAGGAGACACCAAGGCCTCCAGGACCTTAAGGGGTGGGTGCTGGGATCTTCTCCAATAAATGGGGTGCCAACCTCACCCAAAGCTCCTGCCCCCACTGATGCCTGAGGGGAGGGCCTGGGAGAACTTGTGGGAGGGATATAGAGTTCCCTTCCATTTATCTAGGTAAGGTAAGAGTTCTTTAGAGGAGGCACGCTCCGGAATTTTCCGTGAAATGAGCTGAGAGAGACACTGTCCCACAGCAAGTCCAGGATTCTAGAGGTTTGGCAGGGAAGAAAGCCCATATTTGCTCTTTTTATTAAAATGCAAAGAAAAAGCAGGGAAGACCTTGAGATGAGGGTTTCTGATGAACTGGACTCTAACTGGGGTTTGGAGATTCAGAGCACAGCAGGGTCTCCAGGGGTTGGCATTTCTGAACTTTCTTCTGAGCATTCTTTCCAATGTCACAGGCTGCCCAGAAGTCTAGGTGGGGGGAATCAGGGTCACCCAAGGATGCTACCACCCTATGGTTGTAGGGACTCCTTCTTCATAGGAGGTAGTAGGGGAGGAGGTAAGAATAAGTGCCCAGGAGGCTGAGAAAGAAAGCCCAGTTCTAGCTCCCTGGGTCCACTTAGAAACAAGACCATTAGAGACCACACTTTACTCTTCACTCTGTTGAGTGGAAGTGGAGAAGCCAGAAGACCCTAGCTTGAGAGAAGGCCCAGGATATTTGGGGTTGGTGTCCTAAGAACTGAGAAACTGTCTGGTCAAAAATCACCGAGTGTGGAATAACCTCCCCCTCATCCTCAGCTGATTGTCCTGAGGGGGAAGGGACGAGACCTGGAAGAGGGAGGCGCCGGTTCCACCACCTCTATAATTTTTTAGCTCAGCCCTTGAGGCCTCTAATTATGACTGGGCAAAACGGCACCCCCGCCCCAGGCAGGTGAGGAGGGGTGGCCCGGCGCCCTTTCTCTACCCGAAACCCCTATGCCACATTCTCGCCCAAAGATTGTACCTTAGGAGACCAGGAGAACGGGTGTGGAGCTGGGGACCAACTGGGAGTGGGGGTTAACAGAGGGGGCGGAGGAAACGCTTCGCCGGGGTAGCCACTCTCACGTTCCCCTAACTCAAACCAGACGCCCCTGCCAGATCCTTCCCAGCTCTAACCTCGAAGACGCGGTCGAGGGGGCGGGTGAGGGGGGGGGGAAGGTTGACGGATGGAATGGAGGTAGGTCGCCTGGTTTTCTAGAAAGCCTGGGTCTGAGGGGGATGTAGGTATCACTTAAGGAATGACACCGCCTGCTGGGACAGAGGCCTTAAGTTTCTTCCCGTGACCTCTGGCAGAGGGTCGATTGCGCCCTGTGGTAAAGAAAGAGTTAAATGCGCTGCAGTCCGCGAGAGGATGGGTGTAGGGAAGGGGGCCCAGAGCCGGCTCTTTGTCATCTGGTAATGAGCACCAGATGCGGAGCTGCGTGCGGGCCTAAACAGACGGCCTCCCAGGGCAGAGCCCCCGCCTGCGCCCAGACCCAGGCTCCGCCTGGGCCGAAAGCTGAGTCTCAGGCTCCGCCCATTAACTCCCAGGCTGCGCTTCACCTCACCCGGGCGGAGGATGCTTAGGTTATCAGCCCCGCCCCTCCGGTCCACGAGCCACACCCCTTGGAGGGGAAGAAAACTCTCCAGAGGCCACGCCCTTCAAAGCAAGAACCTCGCCCCTTGCCAGCTCAAAGATGCCTTCAGAGCTATTGCCCGCCCCTCTGCCCTATCAGCTCCGCCAGGGTCCCGCCCAAAAGTGACAAGCGGTGTCCCCCACATCTGGACAGAAGCGGAGACAAGAGGAGTTTATAAATCCTGTCTTCCCCGAGGTATGAACTCCGCCTAGAATTTGCACATTCTCACGCAGTTACTCTGAGATACAAACTCTGTTCCTAAGAGACGCAAGCAAACTCCGCCCTCCAGGGAAACGGAGTTGCCTACAACCTCTTCAGACTCCGCCCCCTCCCTGAGCTCACGCCAGTGGAACTACCTCCAGGTAACCGAACCCCTCCTCTGCCCTGCACTATGAAGATGCTCGCAAGCCACGCCTTTTAATAATGCTTTAAATCGGGTCCACCCAAGGAAGCCCTTTAAAGGCCGCAAGGTGGCTCAATGGATACTGCTGTCAATCCTGACATGAGACCCACATGGTGGAAGAACAGACTCCCGCAAGTGACCCTGTGACCTCCATGGGCCCATTATCGCCAATACAAAACAAAAAATTTAAGAAGCATATGCCCTCTCGCCGGCTAGACGGTGGCGGTGCATGCCTTTAATCCCAGCACTCAGGAAGCAGAAGCAGGCGGGGGTATCTTTGAGTTCAAGGCCAGCCTGGTCTAAAAAGAGAGTTCCTGGACAGTCGAGGCTATTACACAGAAAAACTCTGTCTCGAAAACCCAAAAATAAATAGAGAAATAATAATACCCTCTCTCCGGACTCCCCAGAAGTACCGTCCACTCTGGGAAAGAAACCCTACCTGTCCCCTCATGGTCCGCCCCGCCCTTGTGGTTACCCCCACACACACATCTCGACCTCGCCTCCCTGAATGCAAAATACACTCGGGTAGCGCGCGCCCGAGCACACACACACACACACGCGCGCGCGCGAGAGAGAGAGAGAGAGAGAGAGAGAGAGAGAGAGAGAGAGAGAGAGAGACTCTCCTCCCCAATCCTCTTATCTACTCCCAGCGCCCCTGAGCCTATCCCTGGAGCTCTTCTTACCTACGGTAAGAGCTGGGCAGTGTCAATGAATGGCCATTTAGCGCCACCTGGCTTTCGCACCACAGACTTGCAGGCCACCGGGAGGATCTCAAAAGCATACTAGGGGCCTGGAGAGATGAGGTGGTTAAGAGTACTGACTGCTTTTCCAGAGGACCTGGTTCAATTCCCAACACCCACATAGCAGCTCACAACTGTCTGTAACTCCAGTTCCAGGGGAACTGACACCCTTGGCAAAACACTAGTGCATATAAAAGAAAAATAAATAAAATCTAAAAGGCATATTAATTATTCAATAATTACTTGATTTGTTTGTGCTACTTAAATATCTTCTGACATATATTCATCCTTCTGTTTGGGATTCTGTACCCAAGGGTGCTCGACTTTAGTAGTCAAGCCACCCTATCAAGTGGCCCTGAAAAATCTTTAAATTGACTGGTAGGACTCTAACTGTCCCTCCACATAATCCTGTTAGAAGAGGAGAAAACATACCTTCTCATCTGGGAGCCCAGAATCCTTGGAACTGGCCCCTGGTTGCTCCAGTAAGTGCTCTGACATTCGGGTGTTTACTGTCTCTGGGTGTGGTTTTAGGCTCTGAAGCCCTGTTTGGAAGCCCAAGACGGTAGTTTTTAGGGAAGTGTTGACACCAGCCAGAATCTCAGGAGATTCTCTCAGCCTAAACACGATCTAAAAACACTTCCACCCACTCCATCATGAGAGCATGTTTTAGAGGGCAGAAGTCCGCAGGGTTCCATAGAACCGTTTCAAGTATCACTAGGGCCGACTACAGGCGGTGGAACCATTATCACCTAGAAGGCTTCTGCGGGCACCCTTTCCCAATAGGCTTTAGTTAGTGGTAAAGTTCAAATGCTCACCAGTCCCACAGCCCCCTAGGACAGCTTCATGCTTGTACAGGAAAGGCTCCAACTGCAGTGCCTTACCTGGAATAGCATGGAATTTCCTGCCCATTCCTAGTCCAAGACACACCTGACTCAACTGAATGCTACAGTGTAGGACATCCATGATTTAGATGCTATGGGGGGACAGGGTTTCACTGTGTAGCCCTGGCTGTCCTAGAACTCGCTGACCTCAAACTCACAGAGATCCACCTGCTTCTGTCTCCTGAGCCCTCGGATCAAAGATGTGCACTACCACTGCCTTGCATTTAGACTCATTTGTTTTGTTTGGTTTTGTTTTTTTGAGACAGAGGAGACAGGGTTTCTCTGTAGCTTTGGAGCCAGTTCTGGCTCACTCTATAGACCAGGCTGGCCTTGAACTCACAGAGATCCACCCATCTCTGCCTCCCGAGTGCTGAAACCACTACCCGGCTTTAGATACCGTTCTTATTACCATCAAACAGATAGGAAAACTGAAGGCATTTGCTTGAGTTAGGGACCAAAGCAGAAACAGAAGGCAGATCCAAGATTCTGTGGTCTTTGAATTTTTACATTTATTTATTTATTTACTTATTTATTTATTGTGTATTTGGGGGTGTGATAACCATATCAAAAAAAGTGGAGGTCAGAGGGCAACTTGTGGGAGTGAATTCAGGTCATCAGGCTTGGTGGCAAGTGCCTCTATTGAGCCATCTTGCTGGCCCAGATCCCCACATCTGAGTCTGGCCAGATCAGACAGCCATGTCTCTAAATTAGAAAAAATTCCTACCTCCCAAACACTGGCTTTAATCTTTTTTTTTTTTAAGTTTCTAAGAGGTGTGTGTGCTTGTGTGCGCCCAGGTGTGATCTCGACCATAAACTTGATGGGACTTAGCATTGCCAAGGAAGCGATCCTTCGGGTGTGTCTCAGAGGGGTTGCCTAGATTCGGTCATTGAGGTGGGAAGACCGACCCTGAATGGGGCGGCGCCATGCCATGGACTGGAGTCCCTTTAACCAAAGGGAGCTAAGGGCAGCAGGCATCTCTCTCCTCTTTCTCTTGCTGCTGTGCCTTCCCCGCCATGACTGTACCTTGAAACTGTGAGCCAGAATCAACCCTTCCTTTCTCAAGTCACTTTGGTCACAGCATTAAGAGAGATAACTAACACAAGGAGGCACGCACACGTGTGTGTGTGTGTGTGTGCAGGTGCATGTGCAGAGGTCAGAGGTCAATGCTGGGTAGATGTTGACAACGTGGGTGTCCTTCCTTGGAGACTGTCTACCTTACCTTTGGAGACAGGGTCTCTCACTGAGTCCTGGGGCTGGCTGTCCAAGGAGCCTCAGGGGTCCTCCAGGGCTCTTCTTCCCCAGCGCTAGCATCATGAGCAAGCACTACTGGGTCCTGGGGATTTGAACTCAGGTCCACATGTTTTCCAGGCAAGCACTTGCCCAAATATCCCCAGCTCCAAGAGCTTTTGGGATGAGACTGCATATGGAAGAGTCTCCAGCTGATGATACTGGGATTAACAACTTCTCTCAGTATGGAGTTAATTACCTGCGGCTTTGGTTGGGGGAGGGATGCTGGAAATAAAACATTTCCTATGAACATGGGATCCGAATGGTGTGTCCAAACATGCTGTGGTAGGAGGCCTCTGCAGTTCAAGCTTAGCAGAGGTTTTTGAGAGATCAGGGATTTTCACAAGACGGTCAGTACTAGGAGCTGGTTCTCTACATCAAACAGATTGGGGTAGGTTCCAGCTTTGTAACTTCATGGCTGGGGGACCGCAGGCAAGTTTTCTGATTGCTCTGAGTTTGCCTGCTTGTCTAAAAATGAGGGGCCTTCTATAAGAGTTAGTACACCCACAATCTATTACTCATCTACCTGGTCACCCATCTCTTCAGTTGTTATTGAAACCCTGCCATGATCAGACTCCACTAGAGATCAGGACACGACAGGGGCCTGAGAAGAGAGCAGCAAGAATTCATAAAGTAAGACCAGCTGGGGCACTGTTGGGTGTCCTAATCAGGCTTCTGTTCCTGTGATGGAGATGCCCTGACCCAGGCAGGTTGGGGAGGAAAGAGTTTATTTCAGTTTACAGCTCTCAGGTCTCACTTTGCCACTACAGGGGGTTTGGTCAGGAAGTCAAGCAGGGCAGAAGCCTAGAGGTGGGAACTGAAGCCGAGGCCACCGGCTTGCCCCCATGGCTTCTCAGTCTGCTTCCTTACAGCACCCAGGACCATCAGCCAGGGGTGGCACTGCCCATGGTGAGCTGGGAGACAGTAGAATCTCTGGCCTGCCCATAGCAGTGGTGGAACTGGGCTGAGAGGAGTGAGCATGCAGATCTGAGCAGGACCCAGGGCTGGACTGATGTGA